AAAACTTATGGACGGTCGATTTTACTCGTTTCTTCTTTTAACTCCTATTTGGAGAAGTTTTTCTGTAAGGAGATCCGCCGGGATCCGCCAATGAAGTCAATAGTCCGTATTTTGAAAGAGAGGCGAACGATACCAAAGGGACACTCATAAGTAAATAAACTGACAACGCCATAGCAAAACAAGATAAAAGACAGTACACAAAACACAACATAGAAAACTAAATATTGAGCATTGTGAACCTAAACAAAACCTGGGGATGATCTCAGGTGCTCCGGAAGGGTGGGCAGATCCTGCTTCACACGTGGCACCCGTCGTGTTGCTCACGTCACACGTTTCGGAAGATGGTATGTTTCTACAGAGAAATTGGAAGTTGACAATTGTAAAGTTGAAATCATCACGTTTTCGTCTTTGAGAAGGTTTTGAATGCAATCTGCAAACACAAGTCTGGCAGTAGGGTGCATAATTAGAAGCTGTTTGAATACAAACTGCATGCTGTTGATAAAAAAAAACCTGAATGGTCTGTGTATTTGTCTTTTGGAATTAGTACGGTTTTTTACAACGTAAGGGTTTTTATTAACTACAATAGAGAATTTGTATCCACGATTCCGATTTTGGTAGGAAAAGCTCTGTTCAACAGTACATATTCGTTAGCTTGCTTTGATATGCATTATGTGACATTTACTGAACCAATACAAACTAGGTAGTGAAGGTTACTTGGACACTTCAATTCAAGTGTTATTTTGTTAATAATACACCCACAAACTAGTGGGGATGGCGATTATATAGTAATCGCCTTTTCGGTCCATCCATCCGCCCGTGCGTCAGTTTGTCTGTCCATTAAAGGCAAAACAAGGCACAAACTATCACATAACGACCATGAATCGTAGTAACCTACCAGAGTGTGAACTGGTAAAGGAGAAACTTTTTTTATAATAAAGGTAACAATATCAAAAGTTTCTTTACATTGGTAACCATACTGGTTAAAATAATTTCGAAATTTATTTTTAAAACTATCTATCTTTTACCACTAGGTTTTTCATCTAAAAATACAATTTATAAACTATCATTCCTACATATACTAGCTACTCTAAAATAAATGTCTTAGGAACTATTATTTAAACTCAACCCGTTTAGCCTGCGTAAGGACTATTCTTTTTTAATTTAAACGCATGAAATCAGTTGCCGGCACCGTGAAAAAAGTGTTGCAATGTATTGGTGCATACATTCTTCCTTAATAGATGTAAACAGTAAGCTACCCTACAATGTAATTCGTATTAACGTTAACTGTGTTCAACTTTATCTTGTTTTTCATTATAAACCAAAACAAATTTCGTGATAAGAAAAGATCGTTATTCGAAAATAACAGTTCTAAACACACACACATATGTACTTTTATAATATAGGTTGCAATATATCGTTTTTATTTATAAACTTTCTTCATATTTTGACTCTCTGCTACTATGTTCTCATATCTGGATGTAGAAAATCTTATTATATATATATATATTTACATGTGACAACTTTATGACAGACATTCTCCATCGGATAACACGTGGTTGTACAGTGCTAACACCATAATATATATATATAACTCGTCTCAAATTTAGCCCAACAATGTTAGATCTTCAAATTTGCGTTATCAAATTTGTGTTCTAATCTCAGCGGGATTCAACCCCTTACTTCTGCGACATCGTGACAACACCGCCTGCACCGTGTTTAGCGTCCTAGACCACTCGACCACCTATTCTATATACAAATATAGCTTTCGGTGGTCGATGTAATGCCATTCCTCGTCGGCTTTATATATACGTATAATTTATATACTTCAAATGTTGAAATGTTCATTAAGGCTAAAACATTTGATGAAATTCGCCCTCCCCAACTAAATTTTAATGTTGGTAGTGATCAAGATATATTTAGAGTTAAATCAGTTAAAGTACCTAAAGAAAATTCAGCTTCAAATCCACTATCTGTCAAATCATAGTTTGTAGTAAATACCAGTTTGAAATATCCATTAGTTGATCTAACCTCAAAATCATTTGTCAGATCAGTAGTCCCTGTGAATCCTTCACCGGTATGCAATGCGTTATTTGTGTCATTATATATCTGAAAATTACATAACAATTGTGTTGTTGAAAACTTGTTACATAGGATTTTTATTTTTCCTAGAAAAAAAATTTGTTGTCCATGAATTGACTCTTCTGGCCCACCATCACGATATATTATAGACCGAGCTATTAATATTTGTTTCGAAAACAAAACCTTTCTGTCTGCTATTGATTTTTTTTTACTTATTGTATAAAAACGTGTTTATATGCATTGTCTAATCACAAGAGGCACAACTAAATTGATATTTTTTTACTTCGTTTCCATTTATTTTTTAATCTTTATACTAGACATTAATTTATCAAAGCGATTTGAATATGACCTTCAACTTCGTCATTGATTTTAACATGCCAATTGTTTTTTTATCAAAATGCTGCGTAGTATTTCTTGTGTAGACGAGGATTTAATCTTGCCAGCTAAATTTTAAAATCAAATATCTTTGATTAAACGTTTTACGAATCTTCCATGAATGAAATTTAGTTTCAGTTTAAGCTGGAATGACGGCTTTGGAAATTTAGCATTTAAACACTTCTGATGGTTTATGTTTGTCAGTTTCTGTTTAATCAATTCGTCATTATTCATTATTTAATTTCAGGAAAGATTTGAGGCAAAATACCCTAAAGACTCTCATAAACCAGCATATTATTTATCTAAATTCAACAATTATATGCTTAAAATGATAAAAACTTCAAATGGAATTTTCTTGTCATAACAATCAAAAGTTTAATTAAAAAGTCAAATGTAAACATAAATCATAACCTTTAAGTAATCTTCCTCTTCCTGGATATCAAACTTATTAAATCTGAGAGTCATTGTCCTTGTTTCTACTGTTGGACGTTGTATAGTCCACATGCACTCAATATTTTCTGGGTAACTTTGAGCAAAATACCCTGGAGACTGAATGGTTCCTTCTGGTGTCATGTCATTTATATTACACCCTAAAATATTCAAGAGTATTCACTGTTATATCAAATGTATATAACATCATTCATGAAGTATCAATTCAGAATCATTTCGTAGTGGTATTAACCATATGTGGATTCTCAAAAATTCTAAAGAACTTCTGGACAATTTTAAATCTCGGTCTATTTCTGAAATTAATTCTAACATAACATTTGATTTTTTAACCCTGTATACCAACATTCCACATGTGAAATTATAAAATTGTTTTGAATAAACATTGAATTACAAAATTTCTTCTTATGTGACGTTTACATATTCTGACGTCAGACACGCGAAGCAATGAATGTGGTTTTTAATATGATAGATGCTTTTTTTCTTTTTTGTAAATAATTGTTTGTTTTGATATTGTAACACAGTGATGACTGCTGTACCCATATTTTGACTATTTTATTTATAATGTCTGTTTTGTTCACGCATCGTTGTAAATATAACGGAATTTGATAAGACTGTCGTACAAGTGAGAGGTTTAGCGCTATAAAACCAGGTTCAATCCACCATTTTCTACATTTGAAAATGCCTGTACCAAGTCAGGAATATGACAGTTGTTGTCCATTCGTTTGATGTGTTTTGTCATTTGATTTTGCCATGTGATTAGGGACTTTCCGATTGAATTTTCCTCGGAGTTCAGTATTTTTGTGATTTTACTTTTTTCGATGTTTTATTGCCATTTCAACATGTTAAATGCAACAAGAAACACGTTGTATCAATTATACCTTTCAATTAGATTTTTTAAACCATATTAGAATTCGCAGCATGTCTAAAATGCGATTGTTTTTTTCTTTTACTGTTCAACAATAATTAATAATGCACACATTTAACATGTTTAATAATCCTTTCAAAAGTTTGACGGATGCCATCACGAGTTGTCATTGAATATTTGTGTCCCAGATGACCATGAATATGTTTAAATTGTCAAAACAATAATCCTGTCATCTCTTCCACGATTGTGACATAACTTGAGACTTTTCACCAAATTTGTTATAACCATGAGCAACACAACAGGTGCCACATATGGAGCAGGATATAGAATATATTTTTACTCAGTATATCAACAAGATAATTAGTCTTTTTACTCCTGAATTGTTGGTGTGAGCACAAACCTCTATGTGTTCAACTTAACTAAATGAATGTTTGGAATCATTCATAATCAGCAAATACAGACAGCAACTAATTTTTATGAGCTTATTAAATGAGTAAATTATACGAAACAAAACGGTATAATATACCTCCAGAAAGCAAGTGCCTTTATCAGTTTATCAAGATTTTTCATTAGAATATTTATACTTAAATGATCTTAAATTTGACACTAAAGTTTTCTGTGGCTTTTGCATTTTAAGTCATAAATAACGAGTTTTTAGTGATTACAATGTTCAAAACATTTTTTAATCATGCTTTTACCATTTATTACGAATCCATAACGTTTAATCGACAAACAAATTCATTCAGTGTGTGCTGATGGAAAACAATGGCTTTTTAATCAACTTTCAGGGTTCATATACCGACGTATAGCAATGTTTATCCTGATTAACAATCTACACAAAAAAATAGATATGATAAGAATTGATAATAGAGCGATTTGATTTTGGGTTTTTCCACTGGTTCCTATTTCTTTATTAAACTTTGCGTCATTGGGGGTTCATACAATTCCCCCAGTTTTTGTTTAAAACCTTAATTTGTCTCCTCTTACTCGATTAACAAGATTTGAACATCGGTAAATAACTTTCGCCTCAATTTGGTCATTGCATACGGAAACCCTCTCAACGAATTTCAGTAAAGGAAGATAATTGTTCAACAGCAGTAAACTTCCTTTAGATTTGAAAATATATTGGATTTTCCCTTTTAAAAAAGTATATGTACCCGTGTTTTACAATACAAATGAGCAATTCAGTATATAAAAACATTTATTTTTTTGTGAAATTACAAGGGTTTTATGACTTTCAAACATCAGTACAAACATATCCTGTACTGGAAATACAATTTATCTTGCAAACCTTCCCAGTATTTGATATATATTCCTTTAGGAAACGGGGCTCCTTCTCTTCCAGAGATCAACATCAATCGAATGGACTTAGATTTAGAGATGTAATGTTTTGGTTTGAAGGCACTGACACCATACAAGGTTGGGGTCAATGAGATATCATCCTGATCCCACAAGTACAGCTTCGCATCTTTTCCTGTATCCAGATTCTTAAACTGTAAAAAGAAATATTTTGCTTATGTAGCATGAAATATTTTACAAGTAAACTACTATGGATTTTTTTGTAAGGAAAGTAAAACGGAAAAGCATCAGTTTATACAGAAGGTTTCATGGATATTGAGATAAAATAGACCCGTTCACCACTTACGCTTTTTTACTTCGTATTGCAGGTTTTGTTTTGTTTTTTTTTTTTTTATAGGTTTTTAAGGGGTTGTTGTGGTTTTTTGTTTGTTTTGTTTTTAGGGGATTTGTAGATTATCTAATTTTAGCAATATTTAACAGTCATCGAATGATCAATACCTCCAATGATTCATGAATACAGTGTTTCGTTAAATGGTTAAAACTGATCATTTCTTAAAATAAAAAAGGTGACGACAATCATCAAATAACCGTTACGGGAGTGTCTCACGCTAAATGTTAATTGTTCATTTATTGATTTATTAAACCGTATTGATTTTGAACTGCTTTTTAATCATTGATTCTTTTCTGTTTGAAAGAGCATTGGGTTTATATATTTGCTGAAGAAAAACTGTGGAACTAAATTCAGGCAAACTTTGACCAAAAGGTTCCTAATAATAATCTGAGCCAAAAATTAATTCAACACTTAGTCAGTTAAAGTAAAGGTCATCGAACATATTTCTATAAAAATCATGAATCGGTAATTTTCATGACACTTTGCTTGCAAATAAACGTTTAATTGGTATTTATCAATATTTGATAAAAGTTTCTCCTTCTACTAATATGGTAGACTACACCAAAATACAGTTTCTTTATCAATTAATGTTCTTAAAGGCTGTCTATAATAAGTATTTTATTCAACCAACGTTTGATAGAAATTTTTTTCTTCAGATTGATTGTTTTGGCCACTCTCCTATTTCTAGTCTCTTCAACCACGTTAAAAGGTGGACTGGTCGTCAACCATAAACCTTAAATTAGATAACATTAACCATGGCCGTGACGTCAGCCTATTCGTTTACCGAACTTGGTTTCCATTTTTAGAATCAACGCTTTCTAAATCTGTGGCTGAAATTGATCGACCAAATTGTATTCAATTGTTTGCTTTGTGTGCTTAATTTCGTAACGTTTAGTTTGGCTAATTTACTGATTTCTGTTCACTAATGGAATTTAAAAGAAATACCTTTTTTAACTTTTGTTAATTTACATTTACCTACACTAGGAATTGAACCGATTCCTTTTAAGTCGATTATGTATGATTGATATCAAACACATGGACGAAACCTCCCGGCAACCAATTGGTTGCAATTTTTACGATGTCTATTTTATATACACGTATATCAATATGAACATAAACTAATTTCAAAATATGACACACCAGTACAATGGACATAATTTGGTAGTCGCGAAGTTTAGATAAATGAGTTGTAATCAAATTTCGAAGAAAAGATTGTGTGTTTTAAGTTCAAATCCCTGTTTTCTCGTTGTTGCATTGTCCCTTTTCTTTTCTTTTTTCCAATAACATGAATAAGAACGGATTTTTCCGTTAATTTTTGGTTTTAATTATTGGATAGTTCATTTATTTCAACAACAAAATTTATCAATCGTGATGTGCCTAGAATTAGGTTTCGTGTTAGAATTCCGGTACCATACATATCATATATACTCAAATAGTTCAAATATGCCTAATTTGATAAATTCAGGATAATATTTCAGATTCATAACAATTCAATGCAAAAATCAGTATAGTATACGATTTTGTTTTTAATATTTTTCATGATTTGAATCCACTACCTGCATACCACTAAATATCAGTTTGTGGTATCTTTTTAACAAAACAACGTTTATCCATTATATCTTCTTTAAAATGTTTATAGATGTATTGTTTTCATGTTTTGAAGCAATCGTTCATTTACTTTAGTTTAACATAACTTTGAATTGATTTTTATACTTTGTTTTCTATTTGTAGTTTCTTTGTTTCAAGAGGATCTGGGTCGTTTAACCGATATTTTTATTAGATTTTGCATCATTTAAATTGTAATTGGTTCCTTAAAGTTTTTTTGGGAATTTTAGAATTAAATTATACACATGTCAGTTTAAGTAATGGAAGCTATTTGTGTATGTCAACATCATCATTTGTAAACTTTCAGTGAATCCCCTTAATTGTAGGCTCAGTAATGTCACCAGGGTTATAAGTCTTACACTGGACAATTGATGATAAGTGATCAAGAGATCACGATGGTCTATTTAACCAAATACGTTAATAAAAAGATGTTAAATATATTAAAGGGATGTCAAAACTCATTTTGGTATAAAATAAACAACTCATCAATGATACCAGGCTGATATTGTTGTACGCCAGACGCACTATTTGTCTTCAAAAGAATAACTAGTGACGCCCGAATAAAACAAGTAAAAAGGCCAAATAACAAATATCAACTTTTTTCACGATTTTCCAGCGCATTTCAGTTAATTCCGTATGTTATCATATTGAAGATGACATTTTTTTAAGTATTCTAGATTATGGTGTGTTCAAGTGGCACAATCAGCACACATTATTTCGAATTTGATTGCTTACTTTCATGCTGCATGTAAACTTTCCGATCTTACAGAGTTAATAACTTCAGGGCATTTTCATTTCGTTCCAGTGATTGGACTCGTATCTGACGTAAATTTTGCATCTGTTGATACTATTTATGTTTTTCTTTCATCCACGATTTGATTAAGTAACAGCAGCCGCCAAGTTAGCTTCATCAACAAGTGATGCGCGTTTATCGTCCAAGTTGAGTCAAAGCCGAGTTCAGATGAATATGCATATCTCAATAATTGAATGATTGTTTCCTATACAAAAATTCATTTCGACCCATTCTTGTGATATCTTAACGATCGACATTGTATAGGCATGCAAAGTATTATTAAGCTGACTTTAGTATAAAATTGAATAGAACAACCGCTGTCACGAGTAGGAAAAATATATGTTAATATGAACTTTAATATACCTGTAACATGAAACAACAATACACATTTTACCTCCATAGTAATGATATTTTTTGTACTGGCAGTAATTTTCCATTCAAAAACTTTCTCTTTCGGAAGATATCCAGCATCATAAAGTGGAGATTTTAAAAGTTGCACTGAACTTGTTGCTGTCAACATTTGAACATCATTAAATATTTCTGGAACATCTGAAAATATGTATTCATTGTAAGTGTTATGAAATTTAAAAAATGGTATTTTCATTTATGGTGCAGTCTGTAAATGTTTCTGTGGAAGTTGTTTTGACATCTAGTATATTTTATAAATGTCAAATGTTATGTTTTAGTAAAACCTAAAACAAAATGGTTTCATTGAAATCCGAATTTTGGTAAGGAATAGTTAGATATCACGGATGAATGAACGAATGGACATAACAATTCCCTTATACCATGATATTACTAAGCTGAAGAATTAGAGTGACTAAAAGAAATTATCAGAGAACTACATTTAGAGGTTTCCGTTTTTGTAAATAAGATGGTTGGTTTTCTTCAGACCATTTTAGATTTGTCTTTCCCTTAAACAAATTTTTACATTATATATATACATATATATATATATATATATATATATATATATATATATATAAATTCATCAATGATATATAACTGAGTTACGCTTAAAAAAGTTTCATTTTTGGGGCTGTGTTTCGTTGAGGATTCCTTGCACTGTTATAGTCTATTATTCTTTTAAAATCTCTTTTTAATCTGTGAATATTATAATTGAACAGTCTATGAATTTATTTATTGCGTATGGCTTCTTGGCTGTAGTGGTAAGATGCAGTAATGCATGTATTGAATTTTTCTCGCTGTGTTGAAAACCCATTGGTGGCTTTTGGCTGTTTTCTGCTCTTTTGTCGGGTTGATGTCTCTTTGACACATTCCCCGTGTTAAATATTTCACTGATGGCCTCACAAACCTGTTGTCCAGGAAATTCTGAACCCTCCAGCTTTAATCACTGTGCTGTCTGTCACCAGGCGGATGTTGAACACATTGTCTGAGGAATAATATAGTGGCTGATTATTTACAGTGCCTGTCAACTCGGCCAAAAAAATCTCTCCTTCTCTTCCACCAGTCCTCAACTCCAAAACATCAGCGTTTTTCTCAGTATTAAACGATTTTATCTGCGATTTTTTTTTACAAATAATAGTATATAGTATTACTAGTAAGTCATCCTCTTAACAAAAGCTAATTTTTTTTTTCGAGACATTGCTTTCTTCATAGGTAATGGGATGTTTTTCTGCGATGTATAGATAAAATTTAAAACGTAAGTCTTGGTTTTTGGTAGGTGGTGGAACAAAACTCAAACAATAGTAAATCACATGTATATTAAACTCAAGAGAGTTAACAAAATCATAGGTAAACAATCTCTTCAAAAAATGTTTAAATTCAAATAAAGACAATATGGTTATGTGACCAACTTGCATGTTCCAAACAAATAATTTACTCAGCTTAGGTAAGAAGAAAATTACATAGACGTTCACAAAGGAGTTGGTTTACTTACTCATAATTTTGGCCCTAACAACCTGATTTTTTTTAACTGCGATGAAGTTGTGAAAATTATATGAAAATATCTGTTAAAATGTCCAATTGTTACATTTATAAAAGAAAAGTGATGTATTTATGACGTCATAAATGTAAAGATATTTGTGAACGCCTGATTTTTGGCATAACTTGGTGAAATTTATGTCAGTTTTCTGAAAAATTAACAGTGGCGCCACCCCTCGCCCACAAATATTTTGCTGAAATATTTTTAATATACCATATTCTTTACTTTTCAACCAAACTTTCAATGAGCGAGGGGTGGCGCCACATATGAAATCATGAAATAAGGTAGAAAAAGATGATGAATTTCTAGAAAAATTGACTAAAATGAAATCTATACCTTTTTCACGCTAATATATTTATAATATATGAAGTAGATATACATTTTTTTTTGTTATTATGCTTTAAAAAATAATACATTTAGCAATACATACACATTAAATCAACTCGAACAATTGAAGTTTTAAAAATGGACCTTTACAGGGCCGTTTATTGGGCTACTGGCTCTACTCCTTTAAAACTTCGTAAAAGTCACATTTATCTTTCAGATTCAAACCTTGAACTGTATTCTACCCAGTTTGCAACTCATTAAAAAAGAGTTTCTCAAAAAGTTTTCTCTCTATCAGGATAATAAAAGAAACGCATCACATGGTATTGCTCACTTATATAAACCTTGAAACCAAATTTCAGAAATCCTTGTAATGTAGTACCTGAGAAAATGCGACGTAAAATATTCATGGGACGGATGGACGGATGGACGAACAGACAGAGGAAAACAGTATACCCCCACTTTTTTAAAGCGGGGGTATAAAAAGAGTTGACCGTTGATACTGAATATACATATATATGTGTATGGTTAGCTGGTTATTTTAAAAAATGTATTTCAAAACTAGGTCCTTGTGTCAGAAAAAATAAAGAAATCATCTGAAATAAAAATTTTACTTTACTTTCTTACCTGCACTTTTATTATTGATCCAACGTTTGTAAAAATAGACCAAAAACATGATCTAGAATTCTGGTAGTTGTTAGTGCTGACAATTTCACCTGAAGGTTTTGTATCTCCCGGTCCATGTTCTGCATCAATCATATAATGACATCTACTGACTGTAAATCCCAAGAACACATAGTGATATCATGAACATATAACAGCTAGCCAACTAACGAAATACGCATTTTTGCTTTACTTTAAAACTGAGAATATACCAAAAGAACATTTGACAATCATGTTTAATATAACTTCCCCTAACAGTTTTTTAAGATTAAAAATAACTAGTCTTAAGGACAAAGTTCCTAATATAATTTCATATGTAAATCCATAGATCATAGCAGAAAGCTATACGAATATAAACATGTTACAGTTCAATTTAGTTAAATATATTTTGACTGTTGTACAAATGTCTTTTTTTCGCAATGGACATTTGACTTAAAGTGCAAGCAATATTTTTATAAAGGCGTTGATTTATTTGTCAGTATTTTCTCTAAAAATGTGTTAAAAATTATTAGAAACAATACATATATTTTCTAATTAATCTTAGATTCTTGGTCTACAATGTATTTTAAACGGAACTAAAAAGGACATATTTGATTATAAAAATGGCGTAAAAATTTATCATACATACATAAAGTATCTAACAAAAAGAAAATGATATAAAAATTGTGCATTATAAAACAAAGATGGAGGTACAAAAGTAAACGTTCTGCTGTTGTCTGTTCTATGGTCGGGTTGTTGTCTCTTTGACACATTCCCCATTTCCATTCTCAATTTTATGTTATCTGTTTCTGAATAATTGTGACTTTTACTGGTAAATGTATAGGATGGTATTATCTGGTCGCACATTAGAGTAGAAATGCAACTACGTCATGAACATCTAAAAATGGCTTATTATTTAGATTAAATTGCTATCATACGTAAACAATTGTTTTGGCCGATGAACCAATGCTCAACCCAATACTAGTAACTAAGATAAGTTATCCACTATAATAAATGTGGAACAAGATATGTGTTTGGGAATAAAGCCTTATCTTAAATCGAAAATTAAACGACAAAGAGTGGGTCTGTTTTTACAGTTATAGGTCAAAAAGCAAATATGCATGTCAAAATTCAAAAGTATAAATACTGATATCTGAAGGACTTGAGTTTGATAACATCTACAGGATGTCATTTTATGGATTAATAACGCTTTTCGAATTGCAATCAGAGAACCAAAAAGGTGACCTTTTTGTAAGTTCTTCTCTTTTCTGAAGATTTTAATTCGAATGTTTTCATAAAAAACCTATACGGTTATGTTTTTTTTTTTTAAAGATCCTAAAAACAATGTTATAGACTAGACTATATATATATGTGTGTCTTCAAATATATAAATAAAAGATGTGACTTATTCGTCAACGAGTTAGGGGAAGGGTGGGAGAGGGGTTTTAAGATAAATAGACTCACATTATTTTAACGGCGTGCATTGTCTTGACCATGAATAGGATTATTTAACACAAAACAGAAAAAAGAAAATACAAATGTGAATGCTCCAGATGTGGTTTTTATGAGTAAACAATGACATGTAGAACTAACAGCTCGTTTAGTAATTAAAAACAACATATTATTAAGTAATGATAGATCTTAATTTAGATATCGTTCCAAGAAAACAAAAAGAAGAATAAACTTTAAAAGTTATTTCTATCTTTGTCTGCTGCCTGGATTATTTGCGTAATGATGCAAACAAAACATGTTTGAGCACCTGAAAATTATTTCTGCAGGAAAATTTATGACCAACCAGATAACACTGCAGATTTTGTTAAATAAATTATAAAGGTCAATTATTTATATAGCTGGCAAATAATTGACAAATGGAAAAGTAAAAATTTTCATTTTTTCAGATGACAACACAAATATTTTGCAGTCTGCTGCAGGAAATTTTGGAAGATTTCAGTTTTGACTGATTGTTGTTATCAACTATATTAATTATTTTTCACATCGTTTAATCAATTCAATACATGTTACGCTATAAAAAAATAAAACCCTAAAAAACAATTGAACATAGGTTCTAATTATCGAAGAACACAAACTACGATTTAGTTTCTCGCTATTTCATAACATTAAACTGGCAGAATAGTTGGTTTAGGGGTGCTTAATATCAACATAACAGCATACCAAGAAGTACAGGTTTTCTATTTTTAAGTGAACAGTGCTTTTAAGTATTGTGTTTAAAATATTGATTACAAATTAAACGTTAGCGAACAAAAAGGTTCGGTCCAATTCCAACGTCAAATTAATTATTTTGAATTGAAACGAAGATTACACTTATTATAAAACTATCTGGTAATTACAATTTTGTTATTAAAGACAAATACACTTTCATTTTTATAAACTTCGTATACAGTGTCGTAAGATAGTTTCATTAATACTTTTTATAAAGCATATTTTAATTGATTTTGGCGAAATCATCAAGAACTTTGTACAAGCTGTCTCGCTCCTTTTGGGGTTAATGCGATTCCCTCAAATTCTGCTTGTTTAATTGGTTTGACTTTTCCTAGTCGATTTACGCGATTTGCACATCAGTAATCTACTGCCGCCTTAATTTGTTTAGTTCATAATATCAAATATTTGTTACACGCGACAGCAGTAGTTTTGAAATGTTTTATTTCTTTACTTATCATCGGTACTTGTACATCCCGCCATTGTGGTGGTGTGCTGTGGTCATTATTTTGTATTCTTGTATTTCATTTTCGCGTATTTGCTTTGTCTATATGCCATTTTGTTTTTCTTTGTTGACATATTTGTTTGTTTTTATGGTGACTGAGATTATAACACACTGTTGACTGCTGTACCCTTATTTTTGACAGTTTGTTTGTTTTGTTCACACATTGAATTTTATGCGACTATCATACAAGTGAGAGGTCTAGCTAGCTATAAAATCAGGTTTAATCCACCATTTTCTACATAAGGAAATGTCCAACCAAGTCAGGAATATATAGATGTACACATGAGACCAAGTAAAAAAAGTAAATATCCAAATAAAGATCTTAAATTTCAGCAAATTCATCCTGTTCTCTTATTAAGTCTGATCTTAAGTTCACAAGGGCTGAACATACGCATGATACAAGAAGAATGTCATCAACGTTTTTCAAGGATGATACTGGAACAGTACTGCTTAAAATTGTGAAAACTTTAAGTCTACGAATTGCACGCTCCACATGAATTCTTACTCTTGCTATACGCCTGGTTGAAGTTAAATCTTCGTTACTTAGCTAAGGTTTGCACTTTGTAGATGCTGGCATGTTCAGTTTAACTCTCAGTGGAAAAAATAAATCCTGGCAAAGATACTGTAAAAAACCACTTTTTTCTACTATAAATTTATCACTTGCCCTTCCCCCAAAAGCCCGAGAAATAAACTTTGAATGTCCACGAGGTGCAATGCCAACAATATATTTTGCAGTATTATGCGACTTGTAGTTACTATAAGTCTCTGACCTACTTTTAAGATTTGTTGGTCTCTGTATAAAGGTTTCAGCACAATCAATTATGACAGTTGTACGAGGATAATTTTCCCGAAAATATTCGGGAATACAAGCTCGAATTGTTTCTCTTGGAAGTCAAACAACCAACCCTTTAAGTTTTTCAGCAAGAACTGGCATCCAAAAATTAAATTATTTACATGCCAAACTTTTTGAAATATCAAAGCGACGTCCCAAATCATCAATTATCAAATACCTCGGGATACGTTTCATTGTCATTATTTGCAGAAATGTCTAGAGCTTCAACACAAGTAGAGTCAGATACATTATCGTCATCAGATTCATTCTCATAACTTAATTTTAGCTTTTTCACAGCTCTTTTACGACGTGCCAACTTGCGTCTGCCGGGTGTAACTTTACTGTCATAACCAAGTTTTAATTTGGGAAACGGATTTCTTTTAGTCGGCGCACCATCAGGAAAATGTTCGGAACATACATAAACTTGTTTTGGCAAAGTTTTTCTTTTAATAGCTTTGATTCACTCAAGTTTTGTTAGTGCGTCCGAATCATCAAATGAAACTTGTATGAGATCAAACAAAGACAGTCATTGTGCAACTCGTTGTGTAATTCACACATTGATTTTGTTTCCACATCTGAAGTTTTCTACGATTATTTGTACAACTATTACCTGCACAAGAATTGCCTCCGCCTTTTTTTATAACTTTCGGCACTATCCATAGTAAAATAAATCAGAAAATGAAAATAATTTACAAATGTAAACAAAAAATCGATAATGTTTTAATCAATGCACGTGCGTTATTTTTCACGATTGTAATGGCTGATCGGTCACGTCAGAGGTTATTGGAAGCGCCTATGTTTTCCGTCTATAGCATGATTGTAATGTGTTCATGTCCAACCGACAGGTTTCGTCTGACCTAAACAGTTTATCAGACACTTTAAGCGATATGTCAACTATATTCGGTGAATAGAATGATTGTAAGATGTATATGTCCGGCTGACAGGCTTCACTTGACAATGACCTCATTTTCGTGGTTCCTTGGTCAATGTTACGTTTCTGCGGTGTGATCTGTTTCTAATATACTTTAAGCAAACGGCCACGAAATTTTGTGTATGTGATGATTGTAAGGTGAGCATGTCTGTCTGTAAGGTTTCGTCTGACTTCATGTCTGTTTATCAGATACTATAAGCAATAGGTGAACTATATCTGGTGTATGGAACGATTGCAGGGACAGTGATTTTGCCAGCACTTTTTACGACACCAAACTGATCAACGGTCACAACAGGTGTCATGTTTTGTTGTTACAGGTAATCGGATTATTCGATGGGTCATAATGATCCTCAACAATAAGGAAACGACCATTTGATTCTGAGGTGGGGGCCTGGCAGATTTTTATAATAAATATTTTGGTGCCCATTTAGGTGAAAATAAATAATCTTGCCTTATCACACATAAAAATAATTTTTTTGGCCCCAAATATTCAAAATTTTCAAAATCTTTCAAAAAGGTTTCCAATAGTCACGGATATTCAAGAAAAAGTTCGTCGGACGAATAAAATTTATAAGTTTTTTTTTTTACAGACGTATTGTCAGTGGTTGTTTTGTTGCATACTGTAGTCCACCTCTTTTTGTTTATGAAATCTTCCAAAACAATTTGACTTGTTACGCGCGCCAGAAATTTAAGCATTTGAATAATAATACCCCTCTTTTCTTGAACCCTGGATCAACCCTTGATTTTAATGCTATTACATTTCCATTTTAATACAATATATTTTAGACTTTTCGACTGCTCTATTTGTTTGAAGTTGTATGTGTACATGTATCCTATTAAAAGGTGACAGAAGTTAAATTACTTTATGGGTGAAAAGTTGATATTGATGAGGGGGGGGGGGACTGAGGAGGGGCAGTTTTTGTGTCAATTTTGTAGTTGAGCAGAAAAAGGATACTCTGGACCTGGTCTGAGAAAAAAAGTAATCTGGCCGCCTTTATGTTGGAAAGAAATATTATGATCTCATCAAGTTTGCCAGCCCTGTCCTTAAGAATGAAATGGTCGTCCCCTAACAACTTTGTAAATAGAATTGGTCTGTTGGCATTTAGAATTTAATACATTGATCAATATCAAACGATCACAATTTACCGGCCACTAATGCACGTACAGAATTATTTATAAATATTACTCAGAATTATTTTCATAAATACAGAAATCAGTTTACACATATACAGAACTATTTTCGTATTCCTGGATACAGATATAGATTAACGTATATACATGTATGAAATGATATTAATGTCTATATATAAGACATTAAATTCTTGTATATACATAAACCATTATCAATATTTGTTTACATCGATACCGCGACATAAACTATTCCGATAAAAAAATGATTACAAAAAGATTATTAAAATTTATGGAAGAACCGATAAATACAAACCACAATTAGCTTCATCTGACATATCCTGGCAGTCATTATGGCCATCACAGACAAATCTTAACTGGATTACTTCTCCACTTCTACAGCGGAAATAACCTACAGATTGAAATAATTTCAGGGTCAAAATCAATGACTCAAAAATAATAGAAAAGTGACTCGCATGAAAGAGTCGACACAATCAAAATATTTTGCTTGATGAATAAAAGAACCACCGTCGTGCATGTTAATGAAATTATCTGTTTAATTATGTTATTTGAAATAAAAATATAGATACATAGTGTCTTATAATCATAATTAATCGAGATAACTGCTTTACAATAGAAAAACAAAGGATATTGGGTATCCATCCATGAAACAAAATCAGTACATAATATACATGCACAGCAAAAAACAAGCTTGTTTTACTGAAATCTTAAAAACGTCAATCTTTGCTCTATACTGATGAATACATTTGGAAAAATCATGAACATTAACAATTTAAAGCTCTTTCCAGTCACCAATGTTCTAAGTGTTCACATTGCCCTTAGAGTTTGTATTTACATAAACAACACGACGGGAACCACAAGTGGAGCAGGATCTGATTACCCTTCCGGAGCACCTGAGATTACTTCCGGTTTTTGGTGGGGATTGTGTTTCTGTCTTTAGTTTTCGATGTTGTGTTTTGTATACTATTGTTTGTCTTTTCGTCGTTTTTCGTTTTTTGCCAAGGTATTATCAGTTTGTTTTCAACTTGCATTTGAATATACCTTTTGTTTCTTTCGCCACTCTTTTAGCATATTACAATTTCGAAAAATATATATGTATTCCACAACTAGTTTGTCGAGCACGTCGGTTTGATCCATGTCAAGATAAAAATATTTTCTGCGTAAGTATAAGTGTTGTGTCTTTTTATGTTAACAGTTAAAGAAAAATGTTTTTTTTTACAAATTAGATTATCTAGTTTTAAACAATATAATCCATAGTACATCGGTGTATATACTAAAGACAGACACGTCATGATTCGTTTAATAATCAAAACAAATAACAATTACATTATGGAAAAAACAAACCTTTCAAAACTGCTTCCGCTTTACAAACAAATGGTAATTTTCTCAAACAGTTTTCGAATGTTCCATATCCATCTTTTTTTATGTTAACACAATCTCCGTACCCTGTGTCCGGCTGATCATCTTCCCATACAAATTCCTCTAACGGTAAAGTTTTATTTACGTTACTCCATAATACCTCATTAGCCGTCAACCAGCTTTCCCTTCGACTTAGACCTACATGTAGAGAGTTTTTTTTACATTATGTACACAAATAGAGAATATATACTACATCAATACTCAATTTGAGAAAGGACACATTTTGATTTTTTTTTTTATTCATTCTATCGTACATTTTTGGCTGTACTTCTGTTGAATTTCTCCAATTTCAGGGATTAAAAACGCTTTTTATACAGATTTAAATAATGTAGAAAGTCCGAATTTTGTATCCCAACTCTTTTTATCGGCAGAAATTTGAGACAACCATCATCATACCTAGAGCAATGATGTTGTCACAACAAGATCACTAATCATACGTCAATAGGTTAACTGTTAATGACTGTGCAATCATTAAAAATGTGACAGTGCATATAATGTTTATTCACTTTCAAACTGGATGAGAATCCTTTTCAAATATCTTATTATCCATTATCTTCTTTTGTTAATCCTTAATAAAAAAAAAATCCTCAAAGATACCTGACGCGCGTTGCGTTTACAAACGACTCATCAGTGACGGTCGAATAAACAAATTAGAATCCAAATAAAGTACAAAGTTGAAGAATATTGGGTACCTCAAATTACGAAAGGTTTTACCAAATACATCTAAGATAATCTTTTCCTGCAGTTAATTTATGAATATGATAAAATCAATGCTATTCTATATTAATTGATCATTGTATTTTTGTTTGATGATCATCGATAAACATGTCAATCTAATAAAATTATATTTTGAAAGTCCGGGTCCCCTTCATGAATGTGCATCTGCACACTTGTTTGAACGTTAACACCTTTGTTTTCGTCGATCTTTAATTGGAACAAAATAAATAGGATGACAAACTGTTATCATAAGAAATATTTTATAGCTGTCTATGCGGTATGGGTTTTGCTAATTGCTGAAGGCCGTACGGTGACCTATAGTTGTTAACTTCTATGTCATTTGGTCGCTGGTGGAGTGTTGTCTCATTGGCAAGTAAATCACATCTTCTTATTTTTCTATATACAACCACGTTAATTGGATTTTTTTCTTCTATAACTGACTAACCTGACCAATAATATTCCCATGTTGACTTTGTTAAATGGTCAACTGCTTTTAATTCATCCACATCTAGCACCCAAAACAGATACTGGCCTTGTCTGTAAAAACAATGAATATAGTTTACCGGCGTAATCTTTATTGAATTACTCAGCATTCTTTTATGTATATAAGGATCATGTTGGTTTTTGTTTATATGAAATGACCAGCGAAAATATTTTAAGTGTTTTCGTGCGTGAGTTGAAAGAAAAATTGTTTCTATGCAAGCATTTTTTGCGAGAACTAATGATAATTGTTATTGTTTCTATCCATGCGTTATTGTGAGTGATCACTGTGTGTGTGTTTGTGCGTTTTTGTGAATAATGATACTTTATGTAGGAGCCATTCAAAAATATTACGACTATTTAATTTCTGTTTATTTGATTTTCAGCAAACAGTACAAGCATCTAATTACTATCCAAGTTTTAAATATATATAGTTAATTTTTATTTTTGTTTCTGTTGAAGTAAAATTATCTGACTAAATTTCAATTTTTCGCTAGATATGTACGGTGTTCTTAAGTTCAAAACAAGTATTTTCAAGTGTCTGTCATATTTGTTTATTATAAATTAGTTTGATATAAATTAGACCTTAGTTTTCTCAATTGAACTGTTTCATATTTTTATGTCGGGCCTTTTTTAACCGACTGTATTGTATGGATTTTTCTCATCGTTGAAGGTCGTATGGTTGCCTATAATTGCTTACATCCACTTCATTTGAACTTGGGTGGATAGTTGTCTCATTGGCAATCATACCACATCTCCTTATTTTTATATTGTAAAATTAACAGAACTTTTAGTTCATTACCAGAAATCAAATTACTTGAATTAAATTTGACAGAACTACAAACTCTGAAACTTGTCTTAGAACGCAAAATAGCATCATATAGGAAGAGGGCCATTATAATTGCAAATAGACACTCAAGACTAGATATATTCTGAATATTAAAGAAATGCTGTTTGTGTTTTGGATGGCAACTTACCGTTTGCACGTTCTGTCGGCATCACTCCATATCATTGGTACGTCCACAACAGAAAAGCAGTATCCTCCATTAAAATATTGATCTGGATAATAGGAAAAAAAGAGATTGTGGACTATCTAATCTTGAAAAGTACAGTCTAGCACGAATAATTAACATACTATTTTGCTTAAACGATCAAAATGTGCACTTGATAGAAATAAAAATACAGTATGAAAACACCATTCTAGACCACGGTCTGATCTGATCAGCCCTGATAATCTGAATTTCTAGTTGTGACATATAGAAATAGAATGTCATTTAGTTTAAAATGTGGCCTTCTTATTTTATATCCGTCTAATTATTGTAGTCGTTCAAGCTTAGTATAGTTGTACCTGCGGGGCAGCTGAATTCGATGTTCCCAAGACTCCCTTCGTTCTCTTTGGAACTAGCCTGCGGGGAAATCTGAAAAAAATAGAAATATAAAAATAAAGAGATGTGGTATGATTGCCAATGAGACAACCAACTATCCACCAGAGTTCAAATGTAATGGATGTAATCAATTATAGGCCATCCATCATACGGCCTTTATTCATGATGAGAAAACCGATATAAAACGTAAATACTAACGACATAATTTGTAACAAAATAATATAGGAAAAAACAAATATGACAGACATGAACCAACGACAATGATTAGGTTTTTTTTTTTAATATAAACAGTTCACGATGGGATAACGCATTCTTATGTGATAATATAAGGAGAGTGTCTGATTTTTCAGATTTATAAATCTGTTATTTGCATAACTTCAACGATTGTTTATGCTAATTTGCTGTGTGTCACATTTGTGGACAGATAAATTCGTTTTTGCCTCACCTGCAGCTAGAATTCGAAACATAGGGATAACAATCCGGCGACGGCAGCGGCGGCGTAAACTATTTATATAAAACTTTAGATTTCAGAGGGTTAAAAAACTTGGATGCTTCTTTCGTTGTATATACAGTTGCCTTATGTTACGAAATTTCCATCTGTCATATGTCTATTGTCCTTGAATTCATTCTCATTGTTCAGCGAGTGCTTAAAAAAACGTAGTTGTTTTGTCACGTGCATTTCTTACTTATTATGAATTATAGGATAACTGGTCAATGTTTAATTTTGTGTTTCTGTCTGTTTGTCAAATACTATAAGCAGTAGGTCAACTACATTTGGTTTATCCGAACTTGACCTCATTGTCATGGAGCATTGCCAATGTTATGTTTATGTGATACTTGTACCTTTTAAATATTTATCTTAAAATCTTTCAACATGAAATTAATCATGGTCGGTATAGCAGGCGAGACTTTAGCGTGTGCATCCTTGCTTTTTTTCTCAACCCGGAAAAAGCAAATGGTAATGACGGAGGCTTTCATAGTATTTAATGACGACCTTTTTTTCAATTCAATAAAATAGACTATCTAGATTATCGCAGTACGACTTAAGACAGCTTTCATTTTTTCTTGGAGTGCCCGTTTCATGCACCATTTAAAATTCATCTGTAAGATTAATCAATTTTTGTTTACTCGTTACTTCCTAAGGAAATAAGTTTAGTACAATGTATGTTGTTGAATAAGCGTGTTGATGTAGGACTGGCTTTTTTTTAAGTTTTCACAAAATGAATAAGAACATGCTTCTCGAAAACCACATTTTTACTGGAGGATAACCTATAATATTTTGTCTTTCAGAGACACGTAGTTCATGTTGTTTATAATTTTATTCAATTCAAAATAATAGAAACATGTACAATTTATTGTGTATCAAAAAGGTTTTCAGTACAAATGTTTATAAGGCTGAATAACAGTTTGAGTCCACGCTGCTGTTCAACCTCTTATGTGTATTATATTTGACTTGTTGATATTCCTATTCCAGTCGATTTTGACAACTTTCGGATTTTGACCCTGTAAGTGTAATCAATTCAGGTGAAGTTGGAGATACATTTTGTTCGCATAGCAACATTCCTTAAATATTTTATATACAGAACTAAAATGTATTACAGATGGACAACATAAATTAATCTTAGGTACACCTTACTGTCGTTAATGCATTTAAATTTTGTTTACGAAATTTTGCATATTGTTATTGTAACACAGAAATATAACACGGTGTGAAAGAAGAAAACATTTTGCAATGTACATGACTTTTCTGTACTGCTCAAATTTACAACCGAATATAGATAATAAAATTATATGAATATATATATTTTGTTCTCCAACCAATTATCAAGTTTGGAAATTTTGTCATGAGAAACAAATTCTTAGTAAGACACCATATGCAAATACTATTTGTACGCCTATATAACACCCGTGCGAGACCTCATGGGTAGTCAAGGTCGTTAAACACCCCTTAGTAGTAATATAACATCCTCGTTTGCTTCAAACCAGGAAAATGGTTTTCCTTTGTCGCAACAGATATCAACTTTAATTGGGTCATTAGTTATGATCAGTCCATTACTTTTGTCATAAATCGGTACCTTGATTACATTTGAAATGGAAGTGATATGAATCTCGAATTGCCTTTAAAAATGTAGGAGCAAAGATGCAGTCTCTATTATCTTTATTAGATAGTTGTTTAATATGATAAGATTGAACTGAAAAATGAACTTCATTCGCTTTCTATCAAGTATTATGTAGAATAGAATTCATAATAATACCATGCCTTACATACCACTTCTGTTGAGCATCTCGGTTAATAGTTTCGGGGTTCTTGCAAGATGGTGTTAGTATAACGTAAGCACTTGGTAAACAGAAAACGAAAGTACACTTAAAAAGTAAATATACAAATCTTACCTGAAGGCCAATAAATCCACAAAATAATGAAATGTTTAATTTCATTTTGGAATATGAAGATAACTAGTGCATTAAATCTTGAATTCCCTAATTAATTCATTTCATGAATGTGAAACTGTTGTTTAAATGAGACAGAAAAAATAGGTACGATCTGAAAAGAGAATGTCGTTTTCTGAAATCAGATATTGGGCTCGTTATGGTCTTATACACCAATGCATTTGTAGCGAAGTCTCAGTGAATAACTGAACCATTAAAAAGACCATTTGAATTTAAATCTTATCATGGGAGTATAATGTCAATATAATACTTCCATTATTGTACCTAATACATGTAAATCATAATGATTTAGAAATATGTATAAGTTACTCAAATGAGCGTAATCGGCTCTTACAACAGTCGATGATGTTTCCAAAATATTGCGACAGGGAAAGCGTAGGCTTATTTTTATGAAATTGACTTTCATTGGCGATACGATTTTTTCTTCACATTCTTTACTTTATTATTATTTGATTCTATGTTGTCATTTGAAGGCAAAGTCGAACTGTAATCTTTATTCTGAAAGACATGTTCAAGTTAAGTGAACGATAGAAAACAGTTTTTTTTTCTATGGCATGATTTGAGCACTGGATATAATTGTTCTCATTATCCAAAATAGAATTAAGTTATATAAATAGAATATTACAATGTATATTCAACGTATATTTGGTTATATTTTTTTCTTCGGTAATTTTTGTTTTCTCCTAATTCCTAATACGAATAAGTATGCAGTTTATTTACAATTCAAATTTGGTTGGAATATATAGCAAATTTTCGGACAAAACATAAATTTTGTGTTTATGCATATCATCAGAAATTGGTATTTATATAAGGTAATAAATGCGTCACAACAAATATATTAAAAAATAAACGAATAAACGTATGACATTCTTGCTTCCATTGGAATCAATTTAATTAAAATCCAACTAGAAATGGCCCTTCAATAATTTAAAAAAAAAACCAGTCTATCTATATGAGATATAAAGCAACAAATTGTAAGTGAAGAGTCCTTATGGCCATATACTGAATATCCCACATATTCTTTCATTCAGAGAACACAATATGTATTCTTCACATCGTTTTTTTTTTAATACAGGACACATGTAGTATACCTTATCTTATTTTATATACATCATGCCAAGAAATTGCCTCCGTTGAAGTTTTGCAAACATCCCATAGAGCAAATTACACGGATGATTAATATTGATCATTTGGTATATGGCTGTGTACTAAGCGACACGTATATGCAGGTCATAAATTAATTTGTTGAATGAAATCAAATCTTTAACTACTAATGGGTGCTGTAGGAGGTTGACCGGAATATTTAGCGAGGATTTCTTGGCATGTAACAGATAGAAAAAACTCAGGATTAGAATTCATAGAACAGACAAGGGGCAGTGGCAAATATTTCATATATAGTTTGAACACAGAGAGGATTACCCAGGCACCCTTTGCAAAAAAAAACCGATCTTTTTCTTTTTTGTGCCTTCGGCCGTTATGTTTTGAATTGTAGTTTCACTTTCCATATTCGGTATTTATTCTAATGCAAGCTCCACGTGGTAAAAACACGTGATGCAGGAATATATTATCTTGGAGTTAGGCTATTTCCTTCTTTGAGGCGGGAACTCCAAGCAGACAGCATTCATGTGTATAACGGAACTGTAGATTTTCTTATTAAATAAAGAGAGTTGACGGACCGGTACATGAATAGATCGGTTAGAAAGGTTTTAATTTCAATTAGATTGGTAAGCTTAAATCAAGGATTCAAAATGCAGAACGCGAAAAAAAAAGGGGGGGGGGGGGGGGGGGGGGGGTTCACAGGGAATAATTTTAGTTTTGAACTATACATTTGAAAGGTTTATTTTTTTTTTTTCATTAAAAGAGAGAAAAAACTGATAAACAGATTGTGAATGGTCTTTCTTCCTATCTCCCATGCCAAGAAATTGCCTCCGTTGAAATTTTGAAAACATCCCATAGAGCAAATTACACGGATGATTAGTATTGACCATTTGGTATATGACTGTGTTCTAAGCGACACGTATATGCAGGTCATAAATTAATTTGTTGAATGAAATCAAATCTTTAACTACTAATGGGTGCCGCAGGAGGTTGACCGGAATTTTTAGCGAGGATTTCTTGGCATGAAAACAATGAATAAAAAGAATATAATAAACGCAATATTACAATACGACAATATGTATATGCGTTTTACGTTTAACATTCGACGTTACCAAAAGTGACAATAATATCGTGCATAACGTCAAGTTCCATTTACCTCACAATTTTAACCCCACAAACAAAATTAATTATAAAACTTTCGATGAATCTGGATGAAACTTTATCTGTTATGATAGACTTTGAATTTCTCTTTTTAGGAACAACTTTTATACATACACTTTCTGGAAAGGCAAAAAAAATTGAAGCAATTAGATTTTATTTTGCTAGATAAGAAACATGTTCGTTTTTGAGAAAAAGAATACCAAAGGTGATGAGTATTCTGATAGAGAATAATGTCAATTTATCGATAAATGTGAAGTTAGCGGCCGGTTCGTTATTCGATATTTTGATATTCAATTTCCAACCAGCTGACAACAGTCGGTTCGATATTCAAATTTAGTTAAAAATCATAAAAATTAAAATATTCGATAACATGAAAAGCATGCAGGTCATAGTTAAAAGGAGTTAAAAGATATGTAGGAAATCGTTTTATGACCCCTTCAAGTTGTCGTAATTCTCGTTGTCCTCAAATATAAATCCTTATGTAAATCGCACATTTGTCTTTATGAAATATAGATTTTTAATAAAATGCCATCAAATTAAAGATGTACTTTTATATATGATATTTCTAGAAACAAAAACAAAAAAGATCCCTCTAGTAACATTTAAAAATATAAATAGAAATAATTACAGAACGCAAAAAAAGAAACAAAACAATAGAAAATGTCAAATATTACTGTATTCAAAATATATAGACAAGTGAAAACCTACCGGAGACCGCTTAAATGACGATGAGACCCCCTGGTATTTCAATTTCCATAAAATTTGTCGATCTTTTAGACTATGTATATATCAAATGGTATCAAAATGATTTTCCAGAATAATGTCATCTTCGATATTTACGGAGGGCTTAAATTGTCACTTTTCAGCTAAAAATCGTCGAAACTGCAGATCAAAGGGCACAGGGCGATGGCTTAACACTGTGCGGGACAAATTTGCCATTCCAGAATTGGCAAATCTGACTTTTTTGTTTTACAAGATAAAAAATATATTTGTTGGCCAAATGATAGATAATTAATAAAAACAAATGTCCCCATATGTCCTAACATGTTACTGTTGTAACTGTTGTCACTAAAGCTGATTAAAAGTACATTTCCCATGAGAAACTAAAAAATTCCCATGAGAACATTAGAAGTTCCCATGGGAAAATTTAAAGTTCCCATCGGAAAAAGTACTTATCCCATGGGAATTTTAAAGTTCCCATCAGAACTACAATTTCCCATGGGAACATTAGTATATAGTTTGTTCCCATGGGAAATTCTTTATTTCCAAAGGGAACTTTTGTTCCCAAGGGAACTAATTTTTCTTCCCATGGTAACATCTTTTTCATTGGGAACATTTATTCTTCCCATGGGAACATATATTTTTCCACGGGAACATTTATTTTTCCTTTATTATTTTTTCGTCATTTGTAAAAGAGTTATGAAATATCGCAACGTTTTCCAGTTATAATCCTTGAATTTATGAAATTGACATCATAATTATCATTTAGCCACTAGGAAGATGTGCACTGATTTTTTTAAGTTTATTTCATTCCATTCGGTCAAATTTCTTAATTCAATTTGTTACTTGTCAACAAAAAAAATCTTTTATTTTGTTTCCTTCTTCGCAAACACCTTTGAAAATCTTGTTAGATTTGTCTTTTAGGTTGCACTGCAGTAAATATAGACACTGGATTTTCCCATATGAACTCCCCTCGCGGCTTAAGCTGTTCCACTTTACTATGAAGTTTCGTAAAAAATTATATCCTAGAACGGAAAGTTGATATGCACTACTTTTTTTTTCAAAGGTCAAAACATAGGGCTGTGCGGCATATTTTCGACATTCATATGCCCCGAACTTCTAAGAGTTTAAACTTTTACTAAAATTCTGTACTATCCCTACCTCCACCACTTTGGGTGTCCCTCAGAATTCAATTATCGCCGCTACCATCTGTTTTTATACTGGTAACATTCCTAAGTTATTTCTCTATGAGATGAAACATAGAGATCATATCTGGGAACCAGTTCGTAAACAAAACAAAACATCTATGAATATTATATATCTCCCCAAAAGAGGCGTAGCATGTGAAACAGCTGTATTTACAAAGTGCGACCTTTATGATCTCTCAGGTAAATATCAAAAAGAATCCAGAGTTTTGCATTTACAATGACGGATGAGGATTAAATACTTTATGGTAGTATATACACTTGTATTTTACCCTTAGGCTGTCTTCAGGTAATGTACAGTTTAAAGGAGCATTGTCGTCTTTTGCAACTAGATCAAAGACTTATAATAAATGATTTTTTTTTTGCGATTGCATACAGTTAAAAGAACTACATGTGTATTTGATTTTTTGATTTAAAATAATTGCTGGTGATTTTTTGTACGAATAAAGAACAATTCGAAATTGTTCTAATTTTCAAATTTTATTAATTTTTTTTTTCTGCACTAGATAGGTGAAAATTTTATTATCTAGTCTCTGCCAAATCTTTAAATATGACACCCCGGGAATTACACGTCGATGTATAAAATTTCATGTAAAATCTCGAAACTTGCATTACTGTCATATTTTGAAGTTTGAAAAAAGAATCTAAACTTTTTCAAATATTGAATACGCAACCAAATCTCTGTAACCTTATCCATGTTTGATTTATTTAATTTATAATAACTACAATTTCCCATGGGAACATTAGTATATAGTTTGTTCCCATGGGAAATTCTATATTTCCAAAAGGAATTTCTGTTCCAAAGGGAACTAATTTTTCTTCCCATGGGAAATTCTATATTTCCAAAGGGATTTTTTGTTCCCAAGGGAACTAATTTTTCTTCCCATGGTAACATCTTTTTCATTGGGAACATTTATTCTTCCCATGGGAACATATATTTT